TGTTCACCAGTTTTATTTCTTGTTCTTGGCAAACAATTTTAAATAAATTTAAATTTTCATAATATAATAATCATTAACAATTAAAGTTGGAAAAAGGTTTCATTATGTTTTTCATCCTGTAATAACAAGGTTCTCTAAACTTTAATAATAGATCTTATCTTGTCATAGACTTCGGTACAATTAGACTGCTCAGTGCTCATCTTAGTAAAATCCAAAGGTCATTTTAATGTGTTTTGTATTGGTAATGTTTAGAGTGTGCCCATGTGGTCTAGTTTCTCTTTTATTTTATAGGAAACCATTCAATCTGTAGGTTTTACAATTTGTGCTTTTCTGTTTGGTAATAATGCCACAGTACTAGCTCTAGTTTTATAACGTTTCGTTTATTTAAATTAGTTTCAAAATTAAATTAACTTCCAAAATAACAATGAGAAGACAGCAAAACACCCCACTTAAAATTGGTTTTAACTAATTCCTAAGGATGTAAAATCTATATGTTTAATTTGTTATAGTACCATGATACTATAATATATTATCAACTCTTATACAAACCTAACCACGATTCAAGTTAAAAGTTTAAACACCATTTCGTTTCTGAGTAACCTATTTATCACTTGCATGTTCAAGCCCCTACTTCATGCAACAAGCAACTTTTCCCGTGACATGAGGAGTTCCCGATAGAAATGCAGGTCACTTATAATTAATGTGTAAAACTTATAACTTTGCTAACTTTGTCCACGTAAGTTGGTTCATCGACCTATCAGATGTCGTGTACAAAATCACGCGACCAAACAACAATCATTTGGTCGTTAACCCATTGGAACAGCTGATTTCTCTTTTATATGTTTGTCGCTTTGACGCACGCGACGACAGTTGGATCTCTTTATTGGCAATGTCGTGTGTTTGGTAATACCATTAATACATGTGAAATAAAATAATTCTTTAGTAAAATCTGTCAGTGAAATTGTTATTGTACTTGATTTAAAATTACAATTTTGAACTTACTGAAATGTGTGGGAGGTTACTGGAAGTTAAAATAGAATAAGGATATGATTAGGTGCAGAAAATCTAATACCTATGTTGTGTGAAAAGGTGAAGACCGTGAATTTATTGATTACAGACGGAATGATAAAACATTAAAACTGCGATGGAATATTTATTTATTAAACACGATCAAACTATGAGTTTTTTTTATTCGAAACAATAAAATGGAATACAAGGCACACATCTGTTATTTACAGTTTTTGTATTTGTATTCTACTAGTGTACATGTTGCTCGAATTCGAGCAATTGCAAAGTGTTACAGGATTTATTTTAAAACGAATAACAGGCATATTTACAATTAATTTTAAAGAGTCAACTCAAGATTACCGGTGTGTAACTCAGACCATGTTTATCTTTGTTATTGATAAACCTAAATCATTCCGGCCGGTTTTCTCCTTCTCAAAATGCCTCGCTGTACAGGCAACACAGATCGTTGATAGAGGGCCAATTGAGAACGAAAAGTCGTTTTGGGGTAGTGTTAGGGTGCATTTGTAGCCAATAGTTGAGATTGTCCAGGGTCAGGTGCTGACTGTGATGAGTTAAACCTATTACCCGCCACTGTTCTGTAGCTGCGGTCGTTATCACGATTACGCCTCCTGTCTATGTTTCGTTGTCGTCGCGTCGGAGGCATTTAAAAGAAGAAAAAAAATAAACAAATTATAGCTACACAAAACAACGATAAATGCACAAATTTAAGTTACAATCATGCTAACACGATCCGTCATAGCGACACAAAACAACGATAAATACACAAATTTAAGATACAACCATACTAACACGATCCGTCTTGGGGGTTATGTTTAAACAAACTCAAATAATAAATAAACGTACTCAATGTGTTACATTGAATTGAAAAATAAATAACAGCAGTTAAATTATACAGCTGATCAAAATGTAAACAATTATGTTCTTCATAAGGATAACATGGGAACTTTCAAAGCCAATGGGGCAGAGCCCAAGGGACTTTTTCAAAAATGTAAGGCCAGTTTGCAAATCTACGCGACACGCTCTTTCCAATGAGACGTCAATGGATAAAATCGGTTAAGAAATGGCGGAGGAGTTCAACCGACAAAGTTTCATGTAGCGTATTAATTATATAGATTCCGTACCTGATTTCGGGATGAATATTTTGAGATGTAGTTATTTTTTTAATTTATTTACTTTGAATATTGATATTTTTGGTTCGTCTAGTTCGTAGTAAAAATATTTGATCAACCTATTCAGAAGTAATTGGAGGTTTCAAAATTGTGTTTAACTTACTAATTTTTATTTGTCCTAGGACGCTATAGGGATTGTTTTTCACATTACTTTCACATTAGGCTAGACCTAGGGGTTGTGGCATTATCACTTAGATAAAATCCATTGGTGATTTGGCGGGATTTGAACCGAGGACCTCGGGCACCGAAGTTCCGCACTATATCCACTAGACCAGCTCGCTTCCCTCACTTACACCTTGAGTACCTATAGAATGATAAGGAGAATGAGCGCGTGAATGAAAATGCATTCAAGGTTTCACCATAAATTACTCCTTTGTAGTTTTGGCATCTTTATTATTAGCGGAAGACATTTTTTATTGTATATCTCTGTCTAGTAGGCTTAGAATGTATTTTCATATTTACTATTCATTTCTTGCTGTTTTGCCTAATATTTGTTAACTTTAACTTATCTAATGGCATAACAACCAGTCTATTGTGTAAGCTGTAAAGTATACCCTTGAATAAGTGGAAAACACGTTTTCTGCATTAACGCACTTTACACTTACCGGACCTGAAACGCACATTATAACAGTATTCATGTTGTTCTATTGAACAAGAAATTTACTTGCAAAAAGCCCAAATCTATGGTTTCACTGAATTCATAGGAATGAATACAAATCCTGTATTTGGTAGTTTTATTTGTATACTTATAAAATTGACAAGTTTGCGTTTGTATCTGGGCCAAGTTGGTGCTGCTTGTTATAAAATATATTTTTTACATTAAGTATGCGAAAAAACAAACTAAATTAAATAATCAATTGTCAAAAAATTAATTCTCTCTAATGTTAAATGTTTGATTAGCATTTTATTCTCAGCGATATGTTTCTTACCTATTTATTTTGTTGGTTTATTCAAAAGTACTATTTTATCGACAATTTTGAAGATGAAGAATTGCATTTCAGTCAAAGGTAAACGGTAATCACAGTCTTCTTAATGTTAGTTCGAAGCTTTATTTAAACAGGAACGATTCTTGTCTGCAACAGAACGCCGTAAAACACAGTGAACATTAAAACTTATTAAATTCAACATCAAGTAGATTTGAGCACAGATAATCAGGTACAGACTATTACCATTGACTCTGTATACTGGATATACAAGTGGCCTGGCTTAATCTACCCTTTTGTTTTAACTGTTGTGGCCTCCTAAGACACGAGTAACTATCTTCTCCAGTATCTAATAGTATAATGCTATTACACTGTAGCCAAAGCAGTGGCTCACCTCAATAACATTATGATGAGCTACGGAAATCTACAGGATTACCAACATTCTATACTGCATTTATCTTGTTAGCAAACTTTTTCTGAGGATGAGCCATAATTATTTTAGGATTAAATTAGATCCATCTCTCTAGCACCAAGACACGAGGGGGAAGGTGACGTTGAGTAAAGATAGGATGAGAGTTAGAGATGACTTAGTCACTGAATAAAGCTTGTTCTTTAATCAGGGTCATTGATTAAGGCCAGGACCAGAACCTTACACAATACTTTCCTCTATGTAACACTTCATTACTCTATGTGTGTTGCAGGACAAACACTACCTGTGTGTGATGGCGGCGGACACCCCGGACCAGAACCTTACACAATACTTCCTCTATGTAACACTTCATTACTCTATGTATGTTGCAGGACAAACACTACCTGTGTGTGATGGCGGCGGACACCCCGGACCAGAACCTTACACAATACTTCCTCTATGTAACACTTCATTACTCTATGTATGTTGCAGGACAAACACTACCTGTGTGTGATGGCGGCGGACACCCCGGACCAGAACCTTACACAATACTTCCTCTATGTAACACTTCATTACTCTATGTGTGTTGCAGGACAACTACCTGTGTGTGATGGCGGCGGACACCCCGGACCAGAACCTTACACAATACTTCCTCTATGTAACACTTCATTACTCTATGTATGTTGCAGGACAAACACTACCTGTGTGTGATGGCGGCGGACACCCCGGACCAGAACCTTACACAATACTTCCTCTATGTAACACTTCATTACTCTATGTATGTTGCAGGACAAACACTACCTGTGTGTGATGGCGGCGGACACCCCGGACCAGAACCTTACACAATACTTCCTCTATGTAACACTTCATTACTCTATGTGTGTTGCAGGACAACTACCTGTGTGTGATGGCGGCGGACACCCCGGACCAGAACCTTACACAATACTTCCTCTATGTAACACTTCATTACTCTATGTATGTTGCAGGACAAACACTACCTGTGTGCATGGTGGAAGGAAAAAACATAGGTGTGCTATTCCCACGTATTCTGACGTCACTCGGATTGCAAACAAAATATCACCTGATTGTAACTGTCAAATTAGTATGTATTTGTTTTGATTTTATTGTTTTTGTTTTTATTATTATGAAAACAATAACAACCAAATCAAAACAAATAATATACTAATTTGACAGTTACAATCAGGTGATCTTTTGTTTGCAATCCGAGTGACGTCAGAATATGTGGGAATAGCACACCTATGTTTTTTCCTTCCACCATGACCTGTGTGTGATGGCGGCGGACACCCCGGACCAGAACCTTACACAATACTTCCTCTATGTAACACTTCATTACTCTATGTATGTTGCAGGACAAACACTACCTGTGTGTGATGGCGGCGGACACCCCGGACCAGAACCTTACACAATACTTCCTCTATGTAACACTTCATTACTCTATGTATGTTGCAGGACAAACACTACCTGTGTGTGATGGCAGCGGACACCCCGGACCAGAACCTTACACAATACTTTCCTCTATGTAACGACTTTATCCACGCGGCTCGACTCCGTGGTGGCAACGTCCTTATTCATTGGTAAGTTGATATTTGTTATAATGTGTTGTGAAATATATACATTTAAATAATATTACAATGAAACATGTACCTCAATTTCTTTCATGAAAATTTTCTCTTCGAAGTTTCGTTCTCTTAAAAATTTCAAAGCTGCACCGATGTTCGAATCGCCCCACCTATTTAGAACCCCCAGATCGGTTAGTAAGTCCCACAGTTATTAGAATTATGCGATTCCGTTACGCACTTTGTACTATTTAAATTTAACTTTAAATGAAGAAAATGACTCACTACTCGTCTTTATTTTAAGTGAGCACTAAAATTTCTCTGCTAAATTATTCATTCAATCTCTAAATAATTTTTAACGTTCTCAACTATATCAAACAATCAAGGGGAAACAGCGATCATGTATGTCAATTTGAATATCTCCCAATCAAAAGTCACATGATAATACACTTAGATAACATCAGCTACATGTTCCAGCATGTTGCGATTTACACGACACTGTCAACATGTATCCGCTAGCCTGGGGAGGTGAGGGTGCGATTTTTAAACAGCACAGGGGTCGAATGTCAGGGTAATGAGAGGGAAAATCGTGACTCATTATGTCCATCGATCAGATAATTCCTCATTTATTTAACTACCGCACTGAGCTGAATGAGTTCCAACTCATTCAGCAGTTCATTTTTATTTGCTCGAGAATACGGTCGAGTAGTTCTCAGTTGTGTTTTAATTGCTGCAGAAATCGTAAAACGTAATAGTAACGAAGAATCGTCTTTGTTTATTGTAAGATTCTTTAAGTGTTTCATATGCGAAGATTCTTAGATGTCTTTGCCTTAATATGGAAATTGTTAAGAATCAGTAAGAAGGCCTATACATGTGAAACCTTCAGATATTGTTATATTAGATATTGTTCTATCCATATAGACAAATTTGTATGCTGCTTTGTGAGAGACAGGATTATAGATATTACTGTAGTTAGACTGACTATAAGCATTGATTATACACAGAGTAGTAAATACAAAGTCAGAGCAATTTGACTTAAGATGCAACAATTAAAATTACCATCCCAATACAAACCTAAAATAATGATATGCATTTCATGCTCTATAAGCATGGATTGTGTTGATGTTGATTAAATGATTTTGTAATTTCTAAGATAAATATTACAATGTGTTCTCTTTGATTGTGATAGCAGATATTTCAAAGATAAATTTATTGTATTTGGTTTAAATATACTTTTTAAAGTTCATAAAATAACACAACTTCTTGATCATCATCGTACGTGTTATTAAATTACCCGAAAGTTTAAAAATACATCAAATAACACTTTTATTCTATGTATAAAAAAAATAACAAAACATGGAAACTAAAAAAAAAAAAAAAACACTATAAAGAGGAAATTTTTGTATATCATTTACTTGTTTTTTCTACTAAATTCAAAATAACTACTACCCAATTGAATGAGTTTTGTACACTACTTATTCCATTCTGTCATCTGAGAGCGACATGTAAATTTTACCCTAAAACTAGAGGGAAACATTAAGCTGAAATAAGCGCCTCAAAAACACAAAACCACTGAAAGTGCTAATCTTGCATAATGCGCTTAGTTCTTGGACGCACAGAGGACATATTAATGGTTAATATTTTATGCCGATACAAGTTTACGAGTACTGAAATTAACTTTTTTGGAATAATGAAACAAAGAAAATGCTTTTGATATTAGGCCTACAACATGATACAGTTTTTTTAACATTAAATAGATGTAGTAGAAACTCAAGTTCATTTGTGTACGTACAATTCACAATCGGTTACCATTCAGTCAGGGGTGGCTTATTTCACAGGGTAGCGTTTCCGGAATAAACTGTGGTTACATTGAGGCACGTACGCTATTACTGTTGCCGAATCTTGTTCTACTTGAATCCGAGCTCAAAAAAGGTTAACACTTTGTTCAAAATGTACCATTATTCCCATTCATTTGATTAATAGAATATTGTATCTTACACGGAAATTAATTTCTGATAGATTTTAGTTCGAATTTAGATAAACGGTATCACCAATCTGGCACATAACTCCCATAATCTTGTCTACAACCCTTTTCAATGGGCAAGCGGTGCGAGTAATTACATATTTTATTGGGAAAATCACAAAAGTTGCAAAAAATTGTTACAGTGGGGTTCTACAGTGGGATTTAAAATAACTATAACATAACAAATTTCTACCTAAATTGTACAAGCCTTTTTTTATGAAAATCAGATTTTTCCGTTTTGGCATTTTATACTCACCATTGAAATCAACATGTCAAAATATGAAAAAAGACCTGGTGATACCATATATTAGTACCCAAACACCAAATCTCATCAAAATCGTACGACATATGTGGTCTGTACACATTCAAACATACAGACATTAATTCAAAAACCACTGTTATTGGTTCAGGTTGACCCCTAAAATAGATATTCCCACCCAAAATTCAAACTCGAAAATATTTACATAAACAAATCTTTACAAACACATTACTATCTCCATATACTATGTATACTGTATAGTCCAGGGGGGGAAAGTAAAAAATGTAGCCTAAATAAATTGTTTTTCATGAAATATTTCCGAGCTAATCACCTCACTATTGATGACAGCTGGAATTCCTTTATGCTTCCCTGTACAAAGACAGGCCCGAAGCTACGTTCAACCCTTCATATCTGTCAACTGACAGCCACTGTAGCCAAGAAACAGGAATCCCTTTAGGCAATTAAGTAAAATTATAGATAACACTGGTTTTATATTTTTATAAAGACTTTTTCATGTCATTCACAAGAAATATAGTCAATTATGAAGATCTAAGTCAACTATGTACTTTATAGTTTAATTCTGATAGACATACTGTACTGCATTAACAAAAATATATTTGATAATATCGAGGGTTTCAGTGATTGTTGTAGCTTTTGCTTGTATATTACAACATTTTTTACTATCGTAGGTTTATCATCGTAAACTAAATTGCAATTTACTTAACAAAATATACATCTTCGACAATGGTTTTATATCTGTAAAAACCGCAGAACGTAGTATTTGAAACAAGTAAAAGCCTCAACAGTAATATAACCTACACACATAATCTATACACTAAAACGTGGGACCTTTTTATTTTTTTTTTTTATCAAAGACTCTGGATCAATTACGTGACGGATGTTTATAATTCTTCTGTTGAATGAAAGATAACATTGATAGGAAGAGAATTATAATGTAACTGTTCACTTTCTCACAAAATTATCTAAATTAAAATTTCATATATGTTTTTTTTAATTGAATTTTAATTTTGAAAAAGTCTAGCAGCCGACGCTAACATAAGTTTGCTTCAGTGCAATATTTAGTTTAACGAACAGCTGATTTTCACTATGCAAACGGCGACTGAAATGTTTCAGTTTTAATTTGTTTACAAAATACTGATCCTCGGTATATTTTGATAACCATAAATGTAGTTTTCCCCTACCGTAAAAGGATTTGCGTTTTCAGGACATTTGTAAATCACCTAGACCAGCTCTGTAAATAAGGGTATGGACCCCTTAGAGAAAACGTAAAAAATTCCAAAGACACACAAATTAATTAAATAAATAATTAATGCTATCGAGAGTGAGTTAGTGATTTTTGGTAGCCGGTGCCGGGGGGCTACTGCGAGTGCACGTGGGTCGGCTTTTATTGATTGTCGGAGCCCTAACCTTCCTTACACCCCCTACATCAACCCCTCCCCCCCCCGACCCTGGCAGCCAAGACAGGGCACTTACGTTCATGCTCTTTTGTACCTTCCATAATAATTGATTAGAGGTGGGTAATATTTGATATGTTTTATAAGCGAATTTCCCCATGGGGAAGTAGCTATTACCGTAGGTGGCACGGTAAGAACTATGCCTGAAACCAAATTACTTTTTCATTTTGATGTCCCCAGAGGCCAAAAACACAATTTTTAAAATATGTACCTATATATAATATAACTAGAACAGCATATTGTGTCCGTAAACACGATAACTTGAGTAATTTTCGTCTGATTTTGATGAAATTTGGTTTAACGGTGTTAGGCGGGATAAACTTGAATGAGTTCGCGAACCAGCATGGGAACGGGGTTTTATGGGGTAAAAATGGCTGCATACAGACTGATCCGCGGCCAGAGGGTAGTTTTGGATCATTCAAACTGACCCGGGGGTCTGACAGGTAGATAATAGGGTCGCTTGAAACCTGTGATCTGACCCGCGAGTCGTTGAGGGAGGACGGGAAATTCTCCAGGCTTATGGAAATATTACGGGATAAATATTTCCCAAATATATCAGTTTTTTTTTTACGGGAGCAACAGACTAGTGTTTACTTATACAGCAACTAATATGATTTAGCCTAGTAGCTTATTTTAGCAATTTAGTTTATTTGGCTCAAATATCGCTATCGTATTTTAAAATCGTCCACGTAGTAAAAACTAATTGTTATTTAATACAAACCAACAGAAATACATCAATGATAATTTACATTGCTATAGGGTTATATTGAGTGATTATAACTCACCCTATGTTTTAAACAAATTTTGAATGTTTTATTTTAAATTTGAATAAACTACGCTGTCGCTGCCTTGTCCAAAACCATTTATTTTCAGCATCCAAACCATGCGATATAGGATGTTTATATAGGAAGAGGTCATCCACAGGGAGGTGGTATACACAGGTACAGTGTACACTCACCCTATAAAGAATTTGACTAACGTTTTCTATGTAAAAATTTCTTGCGTAAAGATGTCTATTTGGATGAAGAATTCCAAAAACTCGACCCGGTCGAGACTAAGTATGCAGTTTGAAATAAACGTGATATTGCTGTAAGATGTTGACTTGAGTGAGATTATTAGGATATAATAGTATTAGTTTTATATTTTAATCATTGATATACTTACTTGTACTCTTAACCGTATTGAACGCTCATAGTCATAGCACTAAGACTTGAAGAATTTCATGGCAACTCTCAGTAAATATTTGCAGTAAAATTGAATA